ATGTATTTACATATCTAACACCAAAAGTTTAATATATATAATATTTTGATATCATATACATAATCATAAAAATGTGTTTATAATTTTTTTAAAAGTTAGTATAGTGATATTTTTAATGTGGTGTTAAAGATTTGAGTGCTATACATGTAAATATGAAAATTTAAGTGTCAATATGTAAATACATAAAAATTATGTGGCATTTATGTTAAAGCCCCTAATATAAAGTTTTTGGTTTTAAATTTTTATCTGGCTTGCTTATTTTATCTTTGACACGCGGCATCCATGACCGTTGGGTTGGGCCACACAAAATTGGACACGTTCTAGAGTCACAGTTTTCTAGGTAGGGCGAGAGGAGTCATTTACAAATCAACTGAGATTATGTGACCTTCACTTGTTCTTTGTTCGATTACTTTAGGCCACAATTTCACATCGTGTCGACAGTGGAATCCTTAACTTTTTCTCTGCAAGTTTATCTGTTGTTTGAACATGCTTTTCAGTAGGATTCAATACATAAAAGATTTTTTACAAAAATTATTAAATTAGTGTTCAATTTATTTGAGAGATCCATTCATATACATAACAAATAAAAGCTCATACTATGCTCTTGTACTATTATTTAATCACCTAAATTATATGGCTTCTCTCTAGTACCTAAACATTCATCAATTTTTTAATATCACATGAAGAACAGCACCATTGCCCCTTTCTTAAAGTGAAACACACTTTTCATGCACAAGTTGAAAGCAACAAAATGTTATATTTGTAAATGCATAAGAATTGTTTTTCCTTTTTTTTCATAACTGTTAAACCGCAGTTCATCAGATTAATAGCTAGCATTTTAAAGCATGGCTTGCAGAAAATCAATGGTAGGAAAAATACACGAAAAAAAAAAAACACAAATTACTATCGAAGTACATTTCAGAGGCGCTTGTTGATTTTCTACTTACCATTCAACTGTTTCAAACAGCTTTTTCAGTATTAGCATTATTCTTGCAACGCAGGCAATCAAAATCCAATTTTTTAAACAATTTTCTTGTAGAAATAATAACCATTTTATTAGTCTCAACAATCGGATCTTACAATCGCTTTAGCAGAAAATCAATAGAAGGAAAAATAGATTACAGAGTACTCATCCGCTCAACAATTTGAATCTCCAACATCAACTTTTTCAGTTCCTTGATCTTCCATTCTACTCTCAACTCCTCCTTTCTCCGCAGCTACGACCTTTTCATCTTTATCTTCTTCTCCACTCGGCACGTCTCTCCTACCATTCTTCTTCGTTCGCAGCAGCTGTGCCAGCCCTTCCAAAGCAATATCAACATCATCGCTTCTCATCAACTGCTCAGCCACTTCAGCGGGCGTCGCCTCCACCTCCTTCAACAACCCTTCAATCTCCTCAAACATGGGATGCTCCTCAACGGCATGGTAATTCGAAGCCAAAACCCTAAAACTATTCGGCCCACAGTAACCCATATGTACATGCATATCCATCCTTCCAGGTCTCAGCAATGCAGGATCAAGCCTTTCTTTATAATTAGTAGTAAAAACAATGATCCTCTCCTCGCCACTCGTCGACCACAACCCATCAATGAAGTTCAGCAATGCAGAAAGCGTCACCTCATCATCAGAAGACCTACTGCTTTCATTCTCCTTCTTCTCTTCATCCCTGTTCTTCAAATCAATGGAACAGTCAATGTCTTCAATAACAAGCAGCGATTTATTCGTCATTCCAACCAGCAACCTTTTCAGCCCGCTGTTCATATGAACCTCCTTGAGGTCCAGATCATAGATATCAAACCTGAGGTAATTCGCCATGGCCGCAATCAAGCTCGATTTCCCTGTTCCAGGAGGTCCGAAAAGCAGGTACCCACGCTTCCACGCCTTCCCAATCTTCTTATAATACTCTCTCCTCTTTACAAATCTCGCTAAATCTTCAATAATTGTTTTCTTCAGGTCCGCTTCCAAGGCCAGCGTCTCGAATGTCGCCGGATGCTGCAAGTCAATCGGGCTCCAGCACTCATACTCATTCATATAAAGCTTCAGCCTTCTATCCGCCGACTTGATCTCCTTCGCCTTCTCCAGAATATGAGGAAGGTACGAATCCAACGTAAAATCTTTATATTTCTTATGAAAAGTGAGCTCGTACCAACGAATTTCGTTAGAGAAACCTGAATCCCTACCGCGATCCCCACCACCCCCCTGATTCTCCTGCTGGTTTATCAGCTGCCATTTGTACTGAACGCCTTGAAAGGCATCGATGAGCTCTTCCCCGTCGTCGAGGGAGAGAGTTATGTTGTTGTTTTCCTCGTTTTTGCTGGCCCTGAGTCGGCGCATGGTGGAGGTGATTCGGGTGCGGAGGTAGGTGCTTGATGCGTCGTAGAGTTCGTTGGAGGTCAGGCCTTCGTTTTCCTGTATGACGATGGTGTGGTCGGTGGAGAAGCGGCTGAAGAGTTTGTCGATGCCGGAGGAGACGATGTTGCGGAGTTCGTAGGGAAGGTATTCGTTGACGATGGTGCGTGCAAGCATCGCGGAGGCGGCGATGGAGGCCGCGGTGGTCAGGTATTTCTTTGTGGTTTCCATGGTTTTGGCTTGGGAATCCATGGCAGGAGAAGAGAAAATTAACCAAGATTTCTTCTTTAGTTTCGCTGTCTGGGAGGACTGGGAGTCGGTACTGGTGAGTTGGGAGTTGAAGTTC